AGGTGTTCGCCGACGTTTGCTGGAAGGAGCTCCTTCACCTCTCATATAATCTAATGATCTGTTTGAGACAAATCCTTCACAATTTTACTAAATTTGCTTATTTTTTAAAAATTAATGTGATGAGAAATAATTTTTAATTATCAGAATGTGATAGTTTTCCTAAAGAGTATGGACTTATGGACCCGACCCGTCAACTGATAATAGCATTCATGTTAAGCATTTATTCGGGTCGGATCTTAACAGGTTAGCGAAGCAAATCCAAATCCAAATCCGTTTACATTTTACCTATTACGGGCTTCAAATATCCTTAATTATTATTATTATACAGTAATTAATTTTCAACTATCGACAAGCATTAATAATCCCCATTAACCAAAGCTACAAAAGGGGGAAAACTGCGACTCTCCCGCAGCTTTCCGTCCCGGCATCGGAGCTTCGCGTCAGATTATTTACACGTTTTATCTCCCTTCGATTCCCCGATTCCAGGTTTATCTCAAATAGTTTTTTATTTTTTAATGGATCAAATTCTGTTTTATGAGAATTGGATTTCCATTTTTTCTTCTTTTCTGAGTCTATGTTATTGGCAGGGATTGGGATCGGATTTGAAGTAGTTTAGGAGTGGAATTCTGTTATTAACTGTTTTGATTTGATATACTAGCATGTATATAGTTATGTACTAATGCTAGGGTTTCTTTCGAGCTGAGATTTGTGGTTGAGATCTGATGCTATTTTGATCTTTTTTGTTTGTTTGTTTGAGCTTCATGGATCTGTTTTATTCTCAAAATTTAACTTTGTTTTTTGGTTCTATGTTCGTATTGCAGGAATCTTGGCCGGGAGGGGCTGTTCTTGATTTCATTGAGTATTTATCTTTTTGGTTTATGGCATTGCAGTGCCTTGAGTTAGGACAGATTTCAGAAAATAACTCTTCTGACGCGGGTTCTGTTGAAGAAATTGATTCTCTGAATCCAAGTTTTTGTATTTCTAGTTCACTTTCCAAGTCTAATAAGGCTGGGAATCTACCGAAGAAAAACAATTCACGGTTTTCTACGGCTGTATTTGCTGCAAGGAAATCTGTTATAGCTAGTGATTGCAGAGGAACTGGTGATTATCTTCCTAATGGTTGTCGCTCAATCATCGACCTGCCTCCAGCTCTGGTTTCGGAGATCCTGCACTGCCTTGACCCAAAAGACCTAGGAGTAGTTTGTTGCGTGTCAACGCTGCTTCAGAATCTGGCTTCTGATCATCATCGGTGGAAGGAATTCTATTGTGAGAGATGGGGACTGCCATTGGCTACAGCTGCTTCTCCTGGTTCAGGCCTACCAGGTGAAAAAACTTGGAAGGACTTATTTGTGGAAAGGGAGCGCCGGAGCAAGTCGTTCATGGGGCGGTTTAGCATTGATACTCTTCGTGGTCACACTGAGGCAGTTCGTGCGGTTTGTTTGCTGCAATCTGCAAAGCTTGTATTCACTGGAGGTTATGATTCTGTTATCCGTATATGGGACATGGTGGAAGGATTAGCCCTAGCAGCTTCACAGCCTCTAGGCTGCACTATTCGTGCTATAGCCGTAGATGCCGAGCTCTTGGTAGCTGGGGGCACAGATGCTTTCATACAATGCTGGAAAGTAATTGAGGGGAATCCTCATCTTTTTAACATTGCAGGTTCCACTATGAACCAGAAATTTGAGATTCGTCTCTGGGGCCATCATGGCCCTATAACTTGCCTTGGTTTGGACTCTGCTAGAATTTATAGTGGCTCATGGGATATGACCGTTAGAGTATGGGACAGGGTTAACTTCAAGTGCATCAGGACTTTGAGTCATGGAGATTGGGTGTGGGATCTTGTACCTCGTGGTTCCACACTCGCGAGCTCTGCTGGCAGGGATGTATACATCTGGGATCCCAGTAATGGAAAATTGATGGATGCCATTCAAAATGCTCATGTTGGTAATACTTGCGCTCTTGCTCGAAGCTACTTGGGCGATTTGTTGTTTACCGGCGGAGAAAACGGAGATATTAACATGTTTGAGTTGGCTAATAGCAATGATGATAGTGAAATTAAACCATGTGCTACTTGGAAGCCACATGAAAATTCTGTTCAATCACTTGCATTTGAGTTCCCTTGGCTAGTTTCATGTTCAAGTGATGGAAGGTTAGCCTTGATAGATGTGAGGAAGCTATTGAAATCAGCTCATTCTTTAGGTAGTAAATATTCAAGAGTCAATCAGTCATCCTCAATTAATTTGGAACCACCTCAAAGAATGCTTCATGGTTCTGGGAATGGCTGGTTTTCTGTTGCTATTGGTGCTGATAGGATTATATGTGGGGGAGAGGAGGGGACTCTCAGGCTCTGGGACTTCTCACAAGCTTTGGAAATTGAGGAAAGGGTACATGCATTAAGAAGGATTAGGTTGGAGCATCGAATGAGGCGGCGTAGGGTCCAAATTGAGATGAATAGCAAAAGTGGACCAACTGATCAGATTCCAGGGGCGTTAAAGAAGAGCCAAAAAAATGTCAACCGAAATGCTTCTTGGCATGTGAAAAGGCGAGACCAGAAATCAAGAGGCTTTGGTAACTAAATTTGCACTGCAAGATCTACTTGACCATTGCCTCAATGTCCTTAAGGCTTAAAACTTCTGCTTCCTGAGGCACATATTTTCGTACTAATCTCATCTTGATTTCATTTGCTTGTTTTTGGAAACTCTGCTGCTCAAGAGGCTTAGTTTAATTTGTAGCAGAGTTCATTCAAATCATTCTTACAAATGTTTAAGTTCTAGTATATATTTTCCATTTTACCCAACTGCTCTTTTATTATCTTTAACTTGATAGTTTTTCCTACAACAACAACAACATAAAGCTTTTATCCCACTACGTGGGGTCGGCTACATGAATCATTTTTCTCCATTGTGTCGTGTTAAGGATCATATTTTCATTTAAATTTAATAAATTTTTTTTTGAATATTTTCTAACCATGTCTTTTTAAGTCTACCTCTACCTTTTTTATCATAAGCCAAATCTAATACATCTACTCTCCTAATTGGGTCATCGAAAGGCCGACGTTTTATGCATTCAAACCATCTAAGACAACTCTCTTTAGTCTTATTTGCCACTGGAGCTACTCTAGCCATTTCATGTATATACTCGTTTTGCATTCTTTCTAGAAGAGTGAAGCCACTTATCCACCTGGGCATCCTATACCTGTAACACTTAATCTAATTTATTCTTCTTTTTTAATGACCAACATTTTGCATCATACAATATTGTAGGTCTCACCACCATCTTATAGAATTTTCCCTTAAGTTTGAGGGTACTTTTTAGTCATATAATAAGCCCGATGCATTCCTCCACTTCAATCATTCAACTTTAATTCTACTAAGAATATATTCATCTATTTCACCATCACTGTGGACAATAGACCCGAGATATCTAAAACATGTACTCTTATTTTATTTATTATTATTTTGTAAAACATGTACTCTTATTAATGACTTGATCGCCTAAGGTCACAATCTCCTATGAGATCTATTACTACTAAAATTACACTTCATGTATTCAGTTTTAGATGTACTCAAATGAAAACCTTTAGGCTCTAAATTTGACCTCCATAATTCTAGCTATCCTTCAACTCCCTTTATAATCTTCTTAACAATAAGAATATTATTAGCAAAAAGCATACAACAGGGTAAATCTTCTTGTAAATGTCTAGTAAGAGCATCCATGACTAAAGCAAAAAAGATTTGGGCTTAAAGCTGATCCTTGATGTAATCCAACTGAAATAGGAAAATACTTGGGTCCAACCGCTTTGTGTTTGAATACAAGTAACAGTCCTAAAATGCTCTGTTTGAGTGGTCGGGCCGCTCGTTCTTCGCCAGGAGGCGGAATCTCCGCTGTTTTGTGATTTCCGCCCGTGAATCGGTCCCGCCTGGACCGGTCCAGTGGACCTGTCTAACACATTATTAACATTTTTTTTCTAGAACTCTCCAAAGCACTTCTCTTGGAAGTTTATCATATGCTTCCTCTAAATAAGTAAATAACTTATGTAAATCCTCCTTATTCTCTCTATACTTCTCCATCAAAGCTCTCAATAATTTATAGCTTCCGTAGTAGACTTATCCAGTATGAATCCAATTTGATTTTGAGAAACATTAGGATCACGTCATAACCTATGTTCAATAACTCTCTCCTATAGTTTTAATGTATGACGACGACAACAACAACAACATCAAGCCTTTATCCCACTACGTGAGGTCTGCTACATGAATCCTTTTTATCTTGTATGACAAACTAACTTAATTCCTTTATAATTCGCACACTCTTGTGCATTACCTATATTTAAAAAAAAAAAGATCAACACACTTTTCTCCATTCATCTGATATTGTTTTAGTTTTCAAAATAATATTGAAAAAAATCGTAAGCCAAGAAATTTGTTCTCTCCTAAGCATTTCCACACGTCTTTTGGAATATATTATCAAGTCCAACAGTTTTTCCGCAGTTCTTTTTCTTTAAAATTGATAGCTTTTCCTATTTGACTTTTTTTTTTCTAGTCAATGCGACCTGCATGTTAAATAGTTTTGACAAGGATTTTACTTCTACTGATGGTTAATCAAGTTAAGTAATGATGTTAGACTCACTGCCACTGCATCAATGTATTAAGTGCATTAACATCGTAATTTACTGTAAGTTGCACTCTAAAAAAATATTTTCTATGTCTCAGACTTTAGATATCTTAGAATTCAGAAAAGTTCCACCGTTTCTGCATTTATAGTCATTTTAGTTCATATATATGAGGGCACTTGGTGCCATGGCCAGTTTTTGGGCACGATGCATCTTTATTTTCCAAACAGGAAGGGGGACTGGTTGCACTTGGAAGTATACCTGGTTGATTTTATTCATGTTTCTGGACCATTTCGCAGAATAAAAAGATATACCCACACAGTTTTAACTTTTATGCCCGTCAAGCCACAAATCTTCCCTTAAAAGGGGTATTCTTCTGCATTCCAAATGCCAACACAATATTTTATATTTACATATTAAACATCTTTACTTACCTCCCGTTCATTCTTATATTCTTGCCTTGGAGAGCTTCCCATTGGGATATATGGGTATTGATAACTCGACCGTTGATGGTCTTGAAGCTGTTCATGATGAGCTGTTGCTTGATGATAATCACCATATTGTGCTTGAACATGATCTTGCAGAGGAATGGAGGATACTATAGTAATGTTGGTGGTTAAAATAAAGAATTGGCTTAGAGTGATACACAAAAAACATCAATGAGATTCAAAGTAATTGAAAGGCATTGAAGGGAAAATTGGTAGGGTGAAGATGGTTTGGTTTGGATTTGTGAAGGAGTTTATGGAAATTAGAGTTGATATTCGACATAAATAGAGTGAAGGCGGATTCATATAAGTGATTGTAATTTGTTGGATTATGGAGGAGGAAAAGTAATTGAAATGTCGGTATCGTTAATTATGATGCATTAAACACACACAACATCTATAGATGGTATTTTTGAGACATTAAGACAAACTCACACGCACATCACATATGTAAGCTATGTTGCACCGATACACCTATTTATGAAGGCATGTTGTAAACCAATACACTGATATGGCATTGATACGCGTCAGATATAGCTTTGCCGTATCCAATTAAAATACTATTTAATTTCAAAAGGACATGCATATCGGATACGCGTGTCTGTTGAAAAAACAAAAAAAAAAAATCCGAAAAAAGACCTGTCATATTTTCTTCCGCAATTGCGAGCTAGGTTCTCTCATTTCCGAGATAGATTTGAGTCTCTTGATGATATAGGAATATTCGAAATTATTAATCTTTCACTTAATTAGCTTGAATTAGAATCTATTATATTTATTGAAGATGGTATAGAAGTTCAAAGACAAATCACTGAAGAAGCTAATCATGTCATTCCTTCTATTGAATAATTGAAATTTCATGTGCTAGACAATTTATGTTTATGCTTTTGTTGTTGTACTAGACGTTTAATACTTACTTTTATGTTGATATTATAAGCTACAAATGATGTTACTTTCATTTTTTTGTAGTTTCAAATATTATGCTTTGATTGTTTTCTTAATTTTTATGTATGATTTATAAATTATAATGCTGTGTCCGTGCCGTACATGTATCATGTATTTTTAAGAATTGACGTGTCCCGTATCCGTATCGTGTCGTATCCGTGTCGCCGTATCCATATCAGTGCAACATAGTATGTAAGTTTTGAACACAAGACCTCTTAATTAATAGCCAGAGCTTCCAACCAACAGATCAAGATGAGCTGCGTCTATGAATGGTTTCGCAGAATTTGCTATTGCCATTATTAAATGATGGTCTGCATGCGTTAATGAATGATTCCTTCAGTAGGCGTTGTCCACTTGCGCAAAGAGTGTGTTTTGCAGGTCATTTGTTCAAATCAGATTATGTCATATGAGTATTGAGCTCAAATTTGATGAATATTATTAACTTTGGCCTCTTAGAATCATATGTAGTTATGTTGGGGCTTTCCAGTTCCTTCAATTGTTTGTATGGATATTGCCATCCATCCCTTCCGGTACACAATCTCTCTGAAGTTATATGGGATGAATGAAGAATTCTATATTACGTTGTTATAGATTAGCTATGGTAATATGATAATTTGATATATGGATGTTTTCTTTCTAAGGCTTCATTTGTTATGATTTTCTTACTGCTTCTGATAAGAACTTTGAATTTTTTTTTGCAGCATTATAAAGATGATTTTTTATTTAGTGCCACCGCTAAATTAAGGAAAATCATTCAGTTGGCTATTGAAGTAAATAACATAGTGCTTTATTTATGACGCATAAATATTGAAGAATGTATTAAGCTATAAAAAGATTGTAAATTGTTGCATATTTGGTTGTTTAATTTTTGTGTTTCGATCATTATGTGATCAAGTTTGCTAATCAGGTTTCAGAGTTGTTAGGACTTTACAAAGGAATTTTTTTGCTAGATATGCTGTATGAAATTGATATGAGAAATAATATAGTTAATATATCATCTAAAAATTATCTTGATCGGGCACAAATCTTGATCTCCGTTGCCCACCGATTACGGTCCTTCCAACCACCATCATCAACTACGGTCCTTTTGACCTCCGTCTCCCGCTGACTACGATTCTTCCGACCTCTGCCGCCCGTCGACTATAGTCCTTCCAATCACCATCGCCAACTATGGTCCTTCTGACTACTGTCGCCCAACTTTGATCCTTCCGACTACCGTTGTTTGACTACGGTCTTTTTGACCTCCGTTGCCTGACTTCAGTCTTTCCGACCTACATCGCTCGCCGACTATGGTTATGCCGCCCAAATGAACATATCAACCTTGATTCTTTCAACTCTCACCATATAATGCACTCTATATGATGTATATTTGCAACGTCGACTCAAGACCTTCCTCTTAATGAAGCGACTCATTTGTAATCAATTGCAAACACTAGGAGATTCATTCAAACTGGGCCAAACCTCGTTATTTTTTTTCTTTTCAAGGGTTTCCATATAAAAATTATGGTGCCTCTTATAAACATTATAACAATATTCTCTTATTTATTTGTGTGCTTAATCTTCGTACAAAACTAAGACGCTAAATTATAATACTCTATCGCTGCGAATGTTTTAGGACGCAACAATAGTATTATTGGTTAAGGTGTGATAAATGAAATAATTTGTACTACAACTATTTTTGAGCAAGTACCAATTCAATTTGAAAATCCTAGCACATATGATATAAAAATATTATCAAGGATCACATTTGGTTCAAAC